ACGTAGTCTCACTGAAGTCATGATTGGTTTCTGTCCAGGCGTTAGGAAGCCTGACGATGGCGGTCACCTTGTTGGAAATGTTCTCAACCATCTCTAGAAACAGAAAACGAGCTGCAGCGGAGGCGGGGCTTAAGACTCCTTATAAACAGCTACAACACACCAATCTGTCAGTCAATATAGCCACGCCCCTAATTATGCAAAACTCTAAGCTTAAATATACAACATTTTAACATAGAGCTCTATGAGGACTGACTCACTGCAGGAGACAGACTCTAGTGGACACTGGAGGAACTGCAGCTGTAAAGTTGGACATTTTAACATAGAGCTCTATGAGGACTGACTCACTGCAGGAGACAGACTCTAGTGGACACTGGAGGAACTGCAGCTGTAAAGTTAGACATTTTAACATAGAGCTCTATGAGGACTGACTCACTGCAGGAGACAGACTCTAGTGGACACTGGAGGAACTGCAGCTGTAAAGTTAGACATTTTAACATAGAGCTCTATGAGGACTGACTCACTGCAGGAGACAGACTCTAGTGGACACTTGAGGAACTGCAGGATTTTACACTTCTGCATTGGCTTGAGGTTGGCCTGTTGATCATTCAGACTCCCTACGGGAGCCCTTAGGGGACATACATCTACAGAGTTTATTTTACCTGTTTTCTGAACATCTCGACTCATTTCTGTCGTTATTTCAGGAAAACATGGCTTTTCTTGGTGCAGAGAGAGTTTCCCTTTCTGTAATTACCAACGTAAACATTTGACCTGCTGGGAGCTCAGTCTGCCTCCTACAGGCTCGTTAAAGGGCGTGGGCTGTGGGGCGTCAGCTCCTTCAGGGGCCTCAGAGGGCCTCATAGTTAAATAAACAACAGGCCAGTTATATTCTTCATCTTTTTAGTCAAAGGTAGCTCAGTGAAGGGGGGGAGCATAGAAACATCCAAGGAGAAGAAGTGGTCCTTCTTCCCTCAGCAGCGGGGGGGGCTGTAAGAAGCTCTTTCTGGAGCTTTCAGCTGTAGCATCGTGGTTTTCATTGTGGTCTTCATCGTGGTCTTCATCGTGGTCTTCATCATGGAGGGAGTTCATGTCTTTTAATTAGTCATCAATGAAGAGACGCTCACAGAACAGGTTTCATGCTTTAAATACTTCTAACTGTACAGATGTGTTCATGTTCATTTTTCTTTCTTGCAGTTCTGTGAGTGGCTGAAGTCTCTGATCCGGGACCAGCGTAACGTCCTCTACACGGCGCTGTTTGGAGTCCTGTCCATGGCATGTTTAGGAATATCCTCCAGCACGGCCCTGCCGACCCTCCTCGTCCCCTTCACCCTGTGGATGGCCTGTTAGAAACACCTGGAACTCGTTCGAAGGTCATTGTTTGAGACTCTAAACAGGCTGCTCCGCCACATCAGAGTTTGACGGAGAGGATGGAGTCGTCTGCATACAGGTGTACTGACTCTCACTACGTTTGGTTATAACTCAATAATCACAGAATACAGACACTACGACTTCTCTCTCCTGCTGCAGAGACTGAACAGAGGAGGAACTGGGTCATTAACATTAGCATTAGCAACATTGCAATATTAGCTAATTCAGGTGACAGGTGCTGTTTTGAAGCGTTGATCAAAAAAAACAGTCGAATGCTTCTCCTGTAAATGTGGTGATCACGTGAACAGAGATCATTTAAAGAAAGAATGTGCGACTTTTTGATCCAGTAGATGTCGCTCTTGAGCTCCAGCATGAAACCATAAACCATGTATTGGAATAAGCCCCGCCCCCTCTGCACTGTAACCAGGTGATGCTCTTGTGTAAATATGTTTCTTTCACAGCTGAGTGTTCTCTAACAGCCGATAAATGTTTGTACAGAATTTATTTTTATGAAGCTGTAACACTTTATACTTTTTACAAAAATAAAACAAGTGAAAGGAGAGCGGACTCTTTGGATTCTGTGACTCTGAGAGGTTTTAAAATATCAACATCCATCCATTATCTATACCTCTTTCCCTGTTCGGGGTCGCGGGTTGGCTGGAACAGATCCCGCTGTCATTGGGCGAGAGGCAGGGTTACACCCTGGACTGTTCACCAGCCAATCACAGAGCTGACATATAGAGACAGACAACCAGACACATTCACATTCACACCTACAGAGAATTTAGAGTCAGCAGTTAACCTAATGAGCATGTCTTTGGACTGTGGGAGGAAGAGGGAGTACCCGGAGCCGGAGGTCTGACAGTGAAGACCTGACCCCCCTTTGGTTCTCAGTCTGGACCTCAGAGCAGCCAGCAGAGCTCTATAGAGGACTTCAGACTGTGTCCTGGTTCATGATGGGTTAAAAGCTGTGAAGGGATCAGCCCATGTTGGACCTAATCTTCACCAGGCCGACTGGTTTGTTTTATTAAATAGTTTAACATCAAATGAACTGATTAGTATCCAAATCAAAGTTTTATATTTTAATAAAAAGTGTTGAAAATGATTCTCAGACGTAACCCTACGAAGTTTATTCTTTTATAAACGTTTTTAAGAAATAAAGCCGGACGTTCATTTAAAACTCGAGTCAGACCTTCACAGAGCCAACAGCATCAACAGACTGATATATTCAGACATGTCTCCCTCTAGTGGCAGGCTGCAGGTACTAACAGATTTCACTGTGCAGAGCAGAAAGAACTACAACACAAACCAACAAAAACTACAAAACCAAGCAAACCTTCTGTAGTTCGACCTCTGCTCAGTAAAGATTCATCAGTTTACCTCCCTGCTCGGGGATTTGGGATCCTTACAGACGTTCTACTGAACTGTTTTCTTATTTGAACCTTTTAAATCACAGAAGACGTCTCTAACAGTTGACACCATTCACATGGCATACTTTCAGCCGGAAGGGGGCGGGGCCAGCGTTGTGGGCCGCTCTCATCATCAGTCCATGTTATTTACACATGACAACTTTAATCTGAAATAACTTCTATATATAGTAACTGGGATCAACAGAGCTGCCCCTGAATGCATCATTAAAGTGGATAAACTTGAGCGTCATAATTCAGATGGAGAGAGAGAAATACTAAGTTAGTACGTATAAACATCTGAGTCTTTGAGCTCACAGGGATTTAGCCAATCAGGAATCAGGACTTGAATCAGGTGCTGAAACATTTCAGTGTGTTGAATTGAGAAATAGTTACTTCTTTATAATAATCCTGAAAGCAGCTCTCGTTTATTTTTAGCCTCCTGAGTCTGAAAATAAAAAAAGAGCATCGAGATGGACCTCTGTTTGTTCCCCTGTTAACTCTTTTATTGTGAAAGATGATAGATGATGATTTCTGTCGGGTTTTGAGGTCCTAAATCACGAAACCGAATAGCTCTCAGAAGGTTATCGATGTGTGCATCTCAGTTTTCCTTAAAACTTTCTTAATGTCACAAAAGGTGTCCCGCAAGGTTCACTTCTGGGGCCCTTTTTACTGTAAACATGAACAAGAAACAACAGGAGGGGCACTGGTGGCACAGTGGTTAGAGCGCGTGCATAATGTACGGAGGCTGTGGTCCTGCAAGCAGGCGGCCCAGGTTCAAATCCCACCTGTGGGTCATTCCCCACTCTCTCTCTCTCTTTCTGATTTCAGACTCTATCCACTGTCCTATCTCTCCATTAAAGACACAAAATGCCCAAAAATAAATCTTTAAGAAACAACAGAAAAAGATGAAAAAAGAACCAAGATATGAGAACAATTATTTAACTCCATCTTTACAGATGATCTTAGAAATGAAACCTATGCCTTTAATATTCTGAGTAGTTCCTCTGCTCTGACCCTGGATCAGTTTACTAATCCCCTCCTCCCCCTCCTCCTCCTCCCCTCTCCCGGGGAATATAAGCACCTGAGCGAGCAGAGCTGCCTCCGTCCTCTCACCATGTTCCCCCTGCAGCTGCTCGCTCTGCTCTTCATCTCCACGCCGAGACTCGAGAAGAAGCGGCGTGAGGAAGGGGAGGAGGGGGGAGGCAGACAGAGGGGACAGAAACAATGGGAGGGTCATCTGAGGAGGGGAGACCTGCTGGAGGTTCCCCGCACCATGTTCACACACTTTGGGATCTACCTGGGGGGAGGAAGGTGAGTCTGACGAGGATCTAAACGTGATGCTCTGATCAAATCTGAAAATGTAAACGTGATCTTTCTCTCTTCAGAGTCGCTCACTTCATCCCCGACATCCTGCCCGTCTTCTGCAGCGATCAGACTCAGATCGATCAGATGGTCACCAACACTCGCCTCTTACTGGGGGTCTTTGCCAAGGTACCAGAGCGTCCATCCAAACCAGACCGACAGGTTAAGGGCTCACTGAAACATGTGAAGAGTTCAATATGGGGAGGAAACTTTAAACTCTCCTGTCAGTTATGAGTTAATGATGGTTGATCCGGTCTGACGGTCTGTCCTCTCTCAGGTCGGCAGCATCAGGGTGGACTCGCTGGAGGACTTCGCCTACGGAGCAAAGATTCTGGTCAACACCAAAGACCAGGTGATAGATTTTAGATATCCTCTTCTCTTCTGCTCTGCATCTTATTAACATCAGCGACTTGTTCCTCAGGTGTGCAGCCGGCCGGCGCTGCAGGGCGAGGAGGTGGCGCGGCGGGCGGAGAAGCTGCAGGGTCGAGTCCACTACAGCCTGCTGTGGTACAACTGTGAACACTACGTCATGTACTGTCGCTACGGCACCCTCATGAGCTTCCAGACCTTCCAGGTGATGACCCACAACACACAAAACCAGGTGTTAGCATAAAGAACATATATAATAGTGAACAGACCTCACACTGTATCAAAGCTGATTAGACCTTCTGTGCTGAGACGTGTTCTGTTCCTGCTGCAGATTAAAGCTGATCACAGATCCGGACTGATCAGGCCTCCCTCTTTAATTGGGTTAAGCCTTCTCGTTTCATAAAAGCTCCTTTGTTTCTCTGCTTTTGTTCTCCTGCTGTACAAGTTTGAAGAAACATGTGAACAGGCTCCAGAGAAGGCGGGGTCGAATGTTTTTAGACTTACTGATGGACACAACGATGAAGAGGAGGAGGGAGAGGAAGAATTTTGAAGTTTAGGAATATTATTTAACTTTTAAATTTATTTTAAAGGTCCACTCAGTGAGCTGTGTAGAGAGTGAGATGATAAAGGTATCTTACTCTCTGATCATTAAGGAAACATGCTATGTTGAAGTGCTGGCTTCTCTGACAACAATGCAGCAGCCAGTATGTCCTCCTTCTAACTTTAGATTCTGCTCCTGAATGCTCTGGATTTGTTTGGACCAGAGAAGGTAGGCGCTTTTAAGACCCCCCCCACATGGCCGTTTTGGACGCCCCTCAGTTTGTCAGATATGAGAGCAGTTATCAGGTCAACAGGTGTTGCAGTGATGGAAGCAGTCAAGAGAAGTGGTTCAGATAGAAGTGATTGTACCCGACCTAAAAAGCCTCTGCATGTTTCTAATAAGCTCCACGAGCAGAAACGTGCTCAAACTAGGATCAATATTGGAGATGCTTTTGAAAAATGGAGAGAGGTTAGAACACAGAAAGGTTTACAGACCCATGCAGAGCTGGATAAACACTGAAGCTTCAGAGTCTGTAGATCATTCCCCTTAAAGAGAGCATCATAACACAGCTGATGACATCATTAAAAGTTAAATGAACGTGTGTTGAGTTTCATGAAAACATTGAAGACTCATTAGAAACAGAACAAACTCACGATTACAGAGAAATAAAATAAAAATCACACTGTGTGATGTCTCCACCTGGTGGTCAATCATGGTTACAACATGCTCTTTAATGAAAGCTTTCCTTCTTCCTCAGTTCTGTAAGACAGCCAGGAAGCTGCTGCTGAGTCGGCATGTTGCCAAGGCGACGGCGTTGCTGGAGGTGTGTGTGCTCCTCTGTCTGGGTGGTGTGAACTTCCTGTCTGCCCTGCTGGCCTTCTTGTTGCCCTCGCTCATCTGGATGGCCTCATAAACAGAAAACAGTTTAAAAAACAGCACTTTAAATGCAATAATGTGTAAAAGTATTAAATTACGACTTGAGACTAATAAAAGATTGTATTTTTATTCATGAGTTTGTTTTATTTACATTTCAAGGGATTTTAGCATCACAATATTAAACGTTTATATTTATCGGCTCATTCTTTGAATTTGAAACCGACTCCTAACCAAACTGCATTTCCCATGAACACTTGCATGATATATTTTGGCAAATATTAATTGTTTAATAAATAATTTAAAACAGGATCACAAGAAGGGGTCACAAATGCTACAAAATGAAATCATTAAATTGCAATAAACAAACTGATAAATATGCTCTTTACATCAATAACAATATTAAATGTAATTTTCTTTAGATTTGCCACATATTTTTAATCAATAGATTTTTTAAACTAATTTATTGAAGATATAACACAAATTATTTAGATATCGCAACACTCTAAAAAAATGTTGATACACATTTAATTTACTTTTTTTTTTTTTTTTTATCAAATTGTCTTTCAAATTTTGTTTTATATTTCATAATAAGTATCTTTATATTTCTGTATTTCAATTTGATAAAATGAATGTCAGTATTTTCTTGTCTTTTCTCTTTTGATTCCCGTCGTCCCGCCTCTCGTGTCTGAGAGGAATGAGCTGATTGGCTGGGGCGGGATCAGCCTCATGTCACTCACAAGGTTGATTCGTCACTTGTTGCTCGGTGAGTTTTTGAATACCTGCAGCTTTGTGTTGAATTTAAAAACGTAAATCAGTCCATGAATGTGCTAGCTGAGGTGTTAAATCTGAATCAGGTGAAAAGGTTCGTGTGGAGACAGAAAGGTGTGCAGGTAAGAGTTTATAACTAACTCAAAACTGACGCTTAAAACAAGCTAACGTTAGCCGTTAGCATAAGTTTTAAAGTGATAAACGTTTTATTCATTTACATATTTTATATTTTAACACTTTTAATGTATGAATGTAGTTTTTTGCACACTCTGGTTAGTGAGCTAACATCTTCATGTAACGAGTTATGATATAAAATATAACTCATAAACTCGGCTAATGTTAGTTTAGCAGGTTATTAAGCTAACAACAATAATAATATTTATTTATTAATTAAAGAACACAAAACATTAAAATCTCACATGTACGGAGTTTATAGAACACTAATGAATAAATAATATCATATTATTATACACTAATACACTAATTATCTTGTTGCTAGGCAGAAAATATACAGAAATACAGATTATTTATTTATAAAGATTATAAATACATAAATACAGATTATTTATTTATAAAGATTATTAAATACAGAAATACAGATTATTTATTTATAAAGTTTATTAAATACAGAAATACAGATTATTTATAAAGATTATTAAATACAGAAATACAGATTATTTATTTATAAAGTTTATTAAATACAGAAATACAGATTATTTATTTATAAAGTTTATTAAATACAGAAATACAGATTATTTATTTATAAAGTTTATTAAATACAGAAATACAGATTATTTATAAAGATTATTAAATACAGAAATACAGATTATTTATTTATAAAGTTTATTAAATACAGAAATACAGATTATTTATTTATAAAGTTTATTAAATACAGATTATTTATTTATAAAGATTATTAAATACAGATTATTTATTTATAAAGTTTATTAAATACAGAAATACAGATTATTTATTTATAAAGTTTATTAAATACAGATTATTTATTTATAAAGTTTATTAAATACAGATTATTTATTTATAAAGTTTATTAAATACAGAAATACAGATTATTTATTTATAAAGATTATAAAATACAGAAATACAGATTATTTATTTATAAAGATTATAAAATACAGAAATACAGATTATTTATTTATAAAGATTATAAAACACAGAAATACAGATTATTTATTTATAAAGTTTATAAAATACAGAAATACAGATTATTTATTTATAAAGATTATTAAATACAGAAATACAGATTATTTATAAAGTTTATTAAATACAGAAATACAGATTATTTATTTATAAAGATTATTAAAGACAGAAATACAGATTATTTATAAAGTTTATTAAATACAGAAATACAGATTATTTATTTATAAAGATTATTAAATACAGAAATACAGATTATTTATAAAGTTTATTAAATACAGAAATACAGATTATTTATTTATAAAGATTATTAAAGACAGAAATACAGATTATTTATAAAGTTTATTAAATACAGAAATACAGATTATTTATTTATAAAGATTATTAAATACAGAAATACAGATTATTTATTTATAAAGATTATTAAATACAGAAATACAGATTATTTATTTATAAAGTTTATTAAATACAGAAATACAGATTATTTATAAAGTTTATTAAATACAGAAATACAGATTATTTATTTATAAAGTTTATTAAATACAGAAATACAGATTATTTATTTATAAAGTTTATTAAATACAGAAATACAGATTATTTATAAAGTTTATTAAATACAGAAATACAGATTATTTATTTATAAAGATTATAAAATATACAGAAATACAGATTATTTATTTATAAAGTTTATAAAATACAGAAATACAGATTATTTATTTATAAAGTTTATAAAATACAGAAATACAGATTATTTATTTATAAAGATTATAAAATACAGATTATTTATTTATAAAGATTATAAAATATACAGAAATACAGATTATTTATAAAGTTTATAAAATACAGAAGTACAGATTATTTATAAAGATTATTAAATACAGATTATTTATTTATAAAGATTATAAAATATACAGAAATACAGATTATTTATAAAGTTTATAAAATACAGAAGTACAGATTATTTATAAAGATTATTAAATACAGATGATTTATTTATAAAGTTTATAAAATACAGAAATACAGATTATTTATTTATAAAGTTTATAAAATACAGATTATTTATTTATAAAGTTTATAAAATACAGAAGTACAGATTATTTATAAAGATTATAAAATACAGAAATACAGATTATTTATTTATAAAGTTTATTAAATACAGAAATACAGGTTATTTATAAAGTTCATTAAAGACAGAAATACAGATTATTTATTTATAAAGTTTATTAAATACAGAAATACAGGTTATTTATAAAGTTCATTAAAGACAGAAGCTGCATTAGATAAACTATATTCAGGAGTTTACAGTCATCCTCATCCCTTTATTGTTCTCCAGAGGACCCTCCTCTAAATCTCCTCTGATTCACACCATTCATTGATTGGCTGTATTCAGTAGGATGCTGTTCTAATTATTGTCCAATGATGGTGAAGGGATGACCCTCCCTACTCTGTCTCTGATTGGTTAGAGCTCACTGATTAAACATGCACATCACTGTTTAAAGAAAAGAAAAGAAAAGAAAAGAATAGAAAAGAAAAGAAAAGAAAAGAATAGAATAGAAAAGAAAAGAAAAGAAAAGAAAAGAATAGAATAGAATAGAATAGAATAGAATAGAATAGAATAGAATAGAATAGAATAGAAAAGAAAAGAAAAGAAAAGAAAAGAAAAGAAAAGAATAGAAAATAAAATAAAATAAAATAAAATAAAATAAAATAAAATAAAATAAAATAAAATAATTACTTTCTTGATCCCAAAGTGGGAAATTGTGGCGTTAGGCCGTACAAGCCTGTGGAAAAATGAAAAAGTATGAGGCCTTTTCAAAAAGCGCTGCGCCCGGCGCCTGGGTGACGTCATGCGCCTTTCTGACAGCTGACCAATCAGGACGAGTAGTAAGCTACGTCCCTAGTTACCGGTGCACTGCGGCTGCGCACAGAGAGCTCAGCCGGACAGCTGGAGTATGAAGACAAAGGAGGATTCACTCGCGACAGCTCGAGATAATACGATGTTCGTGGTATAAAACTCAATAAAAACTTTATAAACACACAAACAAAATGGTCAAAACGGAGAGTTTTATTCTGAAAATAAACCGGATGTTTTAATGTTGTATCGGTGTCTGACTTCCTGTCCCGCTTGTTCTTTTCTGTGCTAACTTGATGCGTTGTGTTCCGGCGCGCTTTGTGTGAACACGGCCTTACAGCAGCAGGTTATCCAACACACAATATGAGCAAATCTAAACACAATATAATATTAAAGACAAAGTAATACTAAAAATATCAAAACTAAGAATGGGAATATATACAAGCAGGATTTAACAAACATTATGTCTGCATGCTCTGGCACCTTCTCTGTTTGATGAATCTGTAACTTGTGAAAAACCTCATTTGGACAATCAGCCTTCTCTGTTGTTGGAGCTCATCTCTGGAATAGTTTACTCACTGAACTGATGCTACACAGTTTGAATGTTTTTAAGGTATTCAATCATGGCTGAAGGAGAAACAACATTGTTCTCACACCTAAACGCACATGAGCTGGTATATTTTTCTCTGTAACTGTATTTATAACTGAACTGTTTTCTTTTTCTTACCCTTTCTATCTCTGTTGTTTCTGAAAGCCTCCCGTCGACAGCTGTTGTTAATGATCATTTTGTTTTAAACACTAAGAGCAGTGCGTCTGGAACTTGTGCATGGTTAAATGTTACAGCACCAATGTTACTGTATGTCCATGTTAAAGAAACAGACAAATAAATAATGAATAAATTACGAGTCTTACGGTAAACAGGAAGATTCAATATGAAAGATTAAATGTGAATGTGCAAAAACAGAGTCGTAAATGGACAGTATGGACAGTTAAAGTGCATGAAGTGCATGAAGCAGGTCATCAGACTAAATGTGGACTGTGCTGTTTGTGGGACAGACATGAACAGAGACTCTGGGAAGGTGAGTCCTCTGCTGGGCGAGGACGAGTTCAAGGCGTCCTGCGCCAAAGAGATCGCTCTGCTGGACCTGATGGAGAAGACGGGCTACGACATGGTGCAGGAGAACGGCCAGAGGAAGTTTGGAGGACCCCCACCAGGTCTGTGTGTGTGTGTGTGTGTGTGTGTGTGTGTGTGAGTGTGTGTGTGAGAGAGTGAGTGTGTGTGTGTGTGTGAGTGTGTGTGTGAGAGAGAGTGTGTGAGTGTGTGT